TGGTCCAGTGCTGCAGCCTGTGGGTCACATTTCCCCTCGTTATCCTCGGTGTGGGGGTGATGCTCAAGGAGCTGTGAGCGAACCTCCTGCGGTGGTGGAGGAGGCAGAGGACAGTGAGAGAAAGGCTGTTTGCTGGGGTCTCTTTATTTAAAATTCTCCTTTTCCTGCTGGAATAATATAAAAGGACTGAGACCGGCACCGACTTTGGACCTGTAGTATTTTTTGAAGCACAATGCTATGTGGAGGATGTACAAAGGCATCACAAATGAGACTTATCCTGAGGGGATTAGGGAGAATAATATGCTTTTTAGGAAAGGGCGGGGGGTGGAACCCAAACACCAAAAACCATTTTGGCTTCCTACCGGAGGGACTCCCTGCAGGAGACCCGCTCCGCGGGGAGAGGCTGCTCCTGGGGCTGCTTACAGGGGCGCGGGCTCTGCAAGCCTCCGCGTGCCCGGCTGTTACGGTAGTGTTGGCTGTGCGGGGGGGTTGTTTCTTTTAGTATTTTCTGTTTATAAATATTCTTACGCATCTGCATTTTTTTTTTTTTTGAGAGAAATGAAGAAGCAACTGCTTATTTTTGTGGAGGGGTTAAATGCAGAACATTGTTCTCTCTTGGCTTTATTTAATTTTGGGTGAGCACTAAAAATGACGCACGTCTATGCTGTGTTCCACTGCGCTGTGCGTGCGTGGTCGCCTGGGGCAGAGCACACGCGAATGTGCTTCTATGGGCATGAAAGGAGCTCTGACAACATGAGTGCCCGTGACCCCCCCAGCGCACTGGCTGCTCCTGCACCTATTTCACGCTCAGTTCCTTCCCGCTGAAGACGCGGCAGTGATTAGGTGATGGGCAGTAGGTGTTCCACGTATAGCGCTGTGTGGGATCTGCTTAATGATCTCATGAAGAGCTCAGCACCAGCTAACCCCATCCCTCCCCTGCGTCCAGATGCCAGGTCCAGCACGCTGGACTCGTTACTCTGAGTTGTTTTGATTCACTCGCAGAAAGCCACTCGGCTCTGCTGGATTGCATCCCAGGCTGTGCTTAAAAACCTGCTGAGCACCAGGGCTGGCACAAGGGAAGAGGCTGGATGGCACCCGGGAGCGGGAAGGTGCAGAGAGAAGGTCCTCTCCTCTCTCGTGGGCAAACTGTGGAGTTGACTAGGCTGTCTTGTGCAACTTCACCCCAAGTCTCTGTTGGTTGGCTTTGGATTTGTGTCGGTAAGAAAATACCTTCAAGTGCAGGGCAACAGTGAGTCACAGCATCACTTAACTGGTGGCCGGGAGCTCACATCAGTGCTGCTTCATTGCTGTACGAAATTGTGGCTTTGGGAGCTCAGAGCTTCCAAATGAGGCAGGATTCTCATCTAGTTGAAAATGAAAAACCTTTCGGGGAACGTTTTATTAAACTTTTATGTTTCTTTAGGCCTGCAGTGTTTGCTGGGGGTTTGGCTCTCAGTGCCGTATGCTTGGCCGCTCTGAGTGTGTGTTGAGGTTGCTGTCACCCCAATGCAGAGCCCTTTGGGAGCCGCGTGGCCTTGCAGGGAGTGAGACCCCAGGAGCTGCCAGCAGCGTGAGGGCTCCAGCACCTTGCTCCGGCCCTGAAATACCAGCACCCACGCGGGGCCCTGCAGCCCCGGGGGGTTTGCAGGGTGTAAGGGACTGGGCTGGCTCCTTGCTAGTGTGTAATTGCCTCGCTTGAGCTCTTCGCTAGAGAAAAGCAGAGAAACAGCCCAAATCCTGGCAGGTGCCCAGCATGAGCAAGACGAGGCATGGCATATGTGGGACGCAGCGGGTGCCGTGGGATGGAGCCCGTGTTTGACCCCAGTGCGTGAGTTGGGACCCTGCTTTAGGGTACTTGGCATTGCCCGTAGGCAGGCAGCGTGGTGGTGGGGAGATGCAACCTGTCCTGGTCCTGGGGAGGCCACTCGCACCGCCCCGAGTTACGTATCCATCAATCTTGTCTTGGTCTGTGTTCATTCAACCTCGATTTTTAAAATGGTTTGTTCTTAGCATGGATGGAGAATTTCAAAAACAAACCAAGAAAAATCTTATCACTGGTTTTCTTAAGTCTGTCCTATTCTCAAACCTCAGTTCCTTTGGAGGCCTCTTTCAAGAACACAGGGCTCCAGTGACTCGGGGCAGGTTTTCTTTGCAGTGTTTTTAACTTTGTAACGTGTCCGATTACTCTCAGATTTGTGCGTGCTTCGTTCACGTCACAGACCCGGGGCCCCTCTGGAGGGAGGCCTGAGCGAGTGCCTCTGGTCAGAGCTCCATCCCCAAACCCCCCTGGGCTTTAATGTCGCTGCCCTGGCCAGACCTTCTGCCCCTGGGCAATACACACAGCTGTAGTTACATCGCTTAGGGCTATAGCCCTGGAGAACGGGCTGATGTGGGAAACAAGGTGTATCACTTGAACAAAACCCCCTGTACTTGTTTATAACAGTAGATGCTCGGTAGGTCGGTGGCAGTAGGTACCCTTTGTGGGGGAAAGAGGCTGGTTAAGGAGCATCCTGCTGCTGGCTGTGGGTGCTGCCTGAACAAGGCGCCCAGGTCCCTCCTGCGCCTTCCTCCGGTATTTCTTCATTTCCATGTGATGACAGAGGGTCATCTTTCTTGGATGTTTCGCTCCAAGCATAGATTCTATTACAAAAATTACTATGTTTAAAATTGCATCCTCGTCCTTGTGGAGATCCTGGTTTTGCAGTAGGCTGTCTGCATGGATCCGCAGGGAGCGGAGCAGGTAGGACCCTTGCACAAGGATTCAAACGCAGCCTGACCCGTAATCAGGCTCGTAGGGCTTTCTGTGGCACGTGTGATGTCAATGGCTTTGCACAGAGTTAGAAGAACTTCGTTTGAAGTATTTTAAACATTATTTGCTAAAATACAAATTTTAGACCCGACAGACATTACAATGCTGATTCCCAAGCTGTTGTGACACCGATGCTGTATCTCAAACTAATGAGTTCTTGGAGCATAGCTCCATTTCAGGCCCTCAGTCATCTCCACAGCTAGCATAAAATGCTAATATGAAGATACTGCCAAAATAGTTTGAAATAAACCAGAATCTAAAATAGGAAAGAGCTGAGAGCCCTATTTATGAACAGCTTCTTTTCCAAGGATGCTACGATCTGGTTAAGATCAGTGCAGGGAGAAGAATCCATCCGACATCTAGACAGCATTGAATAGACAAGAACAAAATACAGCTGTCATGGGTCAAAGTGAAGGTCTGCTGGTCCAAAGGCCTGCTGGCAGCCGGGGCTGTGGGGCGGATAACAACGGGCAAGCACGTGGAGATGCTTCCTTGGAGGTGCTGGCTGAGCTTCTGGTTGACTTTCTGGTGGGTCTGGCAGCTTCTGTGGCTGTAGAAGGACCGTAATGCTCTGTGAATGCCATGTCGTCTTACACGGGTTCAAAAAAACCCAACAGAACCAATGCATGCTAGGGAAAAAAGAAACCTGTCCTGGGTTGCAACGTCCTGTGTCAGAGCTCCGAAATGCCTCCCGTTTGCTCTGAGCTGAGTCACAGAGGAGCCTGCGAGCCGGGCAGGAGTTGGCCAGGCAGGTTTTTTAGAGCAAAATAGCCCAGCTGAAACTATTGAAGAGCAAATGGCAAATGCTGATTTACTCTGACAACGCAACAAAAGCCTTAATTCAGGCTGCCAGTTCTACTGAGAGGTAAAAAGTGGTTTAGAGCTCCTCAGACACCCTCGGGTTCATGTTTTGGTGGTATTGGTGGCTGTAGTCATGCAGGGAGCGGTGCAGCGGGTCTGTGTTTCGGCGGGTGCTGTCTGCCTCTTGGCGACTGTTGTACCGGCCTCGGTCCTATGAGCAGCCCCGGTGCCACCCACAAAGGGCTTTGGAGGCGAGACTGAATCCTCTTCAAATTCCCTGTGAAAATAGAACTGGAGAAAACGAAGCTGTGTCCGAGGGGAGATGGAGGATAAAGCAGTGGGTCTTTCAAACAGGGTGTGATGTAGCAGAGACCGATTGCCTGAGATGGGGGATCATACCCATGTAAATCAGGAGTCAACAGCATCAACGCACCATCACCATCTAAAGGCAGTGAGATATGAATAACCAAAAGTCAGACTCGCTGTACTTTCTCACTTGATAAACCACGTGGTTGGTTAGCGGAGCGTTAGCAGATGCTCTGAATGACTGAAGAGGAAATTGGAGGGCAAGCACATAGCTATTAAGAGTTTAAACAGACACATTTACCTGTCCTGCCTATGCCCTGCATCACTTTATATTATTGCAAAAATTAAAACCACATTTGGGCTGATGTAGATGAAATGGTAATTTCTCCAGAAACTCTTTTATGGGCTGCAGGATTGGTCTTAGGGCTGACCGCAAACGGTACCTGGATCTGTCGTTAGTTCCTCAGGAAAGGAGTTATGAGTTTTATAAGGTTCTGGCATTCCTACAAAACCAGAAGGAAAGCGTTGTGGAGACTTAATGAGCTGTGGGATATTCCATGCAGAGCTAGAAAGAGACAAGTCATTTGAATGACCGTCAGGAAAAACTGATGTCAGATGTAACCTCGCCACAGGAAGCAATTAGGGTGACTGCGCTCATCTTCTAATTACGTCGTTAGCCAAAGAGGAGGGTTGCGTGTGCCCTTTAGGGATTGACTGTCGCAGCATGATTTAAGGCCTGCAGGTCTTAAATCTCTTAAGCATCTCTCTGGCAAGAGCGTATTGTGTTATTTCAAGCAAGAGAGAAATCTGAAGAGAGGACCTGGTCACACACTGGCTGGGGTTGACGGAAATCTCTCATTTAAAAGAGCGTTGTTGTAGAGGATGGCCCTTGGAGAACAGGGGTGGACCCGAGCCCTGGCTGTGACATCCAACCTCTGGTAGATGCTGTTGGTGTAGGCAAAACACACGTTTTCTCCAGAAATAACTATTCCCTTTATCTGCTGCTTATTCCAAGAAATTGGACTTCTCTAAAACCAAGCGTTCTGTTAAAGTAACCCTTTTATTTTTCCCTGCCTAGATTAACCCTGGCAGCAAAGCAGCCATGGCAAACCTGTGCCCAGGAGATATTATTCTGGCAATTAACGGAGAGAGCACGGAGAACATGACACACCTAGAAGCACAGAACAAGATCAAAGCATGCATGGACCAGCTCCTGCTCTCCGTGAACAGGTAGGTCCTCTTCTGCTTGATGTGCTCTTGTGTCAGCTCCGCCGCCGAGGGCTTGCGGCTGGCCCGGGAGCAGATGTGCCCTTAGGCTCAGTTCTTGGTGCATCCCTAAGGTCTCTGTAATTGTTCTGCGTTTTTAAAAGCAGTAAAACAAAATTATTTTTAAAAAAGGGTTCAGTTCATTTATACGTGTGGATTATCATTTGTACCTTGCAAGGCTTGTCCAGGCTGCGAGCTGGGTCGGATCTTTCAACCTAATGAGATTTTATCGACTCAAGTTTGTACCTTGCAAGGCTTGTCCAGGCTGCAAGCTGGGTCGTATCTTTCAACCTAACGAGATTTTATCGACTCAAGAGTAGCGCTGGGATTGAAATCTCCTTTGGGCAAAGCCTCCCACTTCAGTAACATCCACCTATCACTTTCCTAAACATCTGTTCAATGAATATACATTTGAAGGTCCTGCGAATTCACTTTTGTAGAATATTTCAAAGCAAAATGAAGGCTTCTGTAGCTAAAAGTTCCTGATACAGACCACAAATTACCCAGGCAAAATGGGTGCTCCTTACAAGGCTCACAGATAGCTAATGTTATCTGTAATAGATTTAAATAAGTGTATACAATTTCCCACTTCAGATTAAGAAGGCATTTCCTGCTATCGAGAGCTATCATTTACTGTTTATACTTCTCTTGGAAAACATGTCGTTTCTGACTGGAAGCCTGGGCAGCGGGGAAGCAGCACCGTAAATGGAGCGAAGCCTCGTTGGTTCATCACGCAGTGATGTCCGAGCCGCCGTGGCCAAGGAGGACGGTGGCTTTGCTTTCCATGGGGAGCAGTTTTAGGGAGACGGGATGGTCTTTTACCCCAAAGGGGGGCTGTACCCGGGGCAGGACAAGGGTTCCCTTCCTGGTGGCCGCAGGCTGGTGGAGCTCCCCTTGGAAGAGGTGGCAATCCTCGTGCGGTGATGGAAGGTTCTGGTGAGCTCCCAGCTGCTGAGGTGCTTTGGCACCAGAACAGCTTTGTCAGGAGTTAGAGTAAGGTTTTGCTGAAAACAGCTTCCACCTGCAGCATGGCAGCATTTTACCCTCGTGTATGAGGGTTTCTACTATGGGAATTTATGGGCCGAATTCCCACTTTTACACCTCATTTTAGCTACTGGTGTCTGTTTGGCTGAGATCGGACCCTCGCATACTCCTCCATGGGAGGCACACGGTACGTGCCCAGCTTTCTGCTGGTGCCCACCGGGCCCTCGTGGTTAGGAAGTGGGGCTTGGAGCTTGCTGGCAGTAGCTGTGCCCATACTGGTGCTGGTAGCTGCCATGTCAGTGTACGCGACCTTGGTGGTATCTTCTCTCCTAAGAGGTGACTTCTTGCATGGATGGAGGGCAGGGGTTGTGTCACGGCTCCGCTCCATCGCCAGAGGCGTGGACAGAGGGCTCACAGCGGTGATGGTATGTGCCGTGGTGGGGTTAAGGATGAGCTGCCTGTTTAGTTGCCCTGAGAAATGTTCATTAACAACCTCGTGGTGGTCTGGAAGCTGCTGTGGGGAAGACTTCTGGCAGCAGGAGGGTCTGTGGCATCAGGTTGGGTTTGCCCAACTACCCCTACCAAGGGGGATATTTTTAACTGTGAGACCTTGCAGGGTGCCCGGAGGAGCGGTGGGTTCTCTGTAGCAGATGTTGCTGGTGATGACCCGCAGCCTTGCAGTGGTGCAGGGTTTGTGGGTGAGGTAGCCTGGGCTTTTCTAGGCAAGAAGGTAGGCAAGAGGATTGCAATGGTTCTGTCGGGCCTTAAAGTCTTCATAAATGCAGATTTTAAAGGCTCTTGTATTTCATAGTTGGGCAAAAATAAATGCTCAGGCTTCTGCAAGAGAGGAACAGACCGGAGCTGGTGATGGTGAGGAGCTGTTCAGCGTGGGGTGGCTACTCTGAGGGAGCAGATCTCGCTGTTGGGTTGGTTAGGGAGCTCCTCCGAGAGTAAAACACACCTTGGCTGTGCCCGGAGAAGCCTGTGGGAGTGGCATTTTGACAGGAAAAATTGAATAGGTGTTGTTTGTTTTTTTTTTCCTACAGTAAGGACAGCAGCTCCAGTAATAGATCTACTAAGATCTATTTTTAGTTTGGCCCAAAGTGAGCGCTCGGTGACATGGCTCTTGGATCTCTCTCCTGTTTCCCAAGTGACCCGTTGGATCCAGATGACTCTGCCCAGCTGTTAGTCATCGCTGGATGCGTCCAGCGCTACCTCCTCGGTGTGAGCAGGTCCCTGCCCCGGGACCTGCCTCCTGGAGAGCGGGGTGACCTGGTGCTGGCGAGCGAACTGTGTCCTGGGGTGATGACGGGGGGATTTTGTTGGTTTGAGTGCGTGTCCAGCAACTACTGTTTGTAATAGCTGCGGATCACCGCCCTGGACTCTGCTGTGAGGCTGAGCTCCAGGAAAGCCCCACGTGCAGACGTGTGGATTAGGATCTCCTCCCTCGGGCAGAAGGATGCTCTCCAAGCAGTGTCCTCTCGGTACGCTGACTTCAACAAAATACAGTTTGCAAATCAAGACAAGGAGACTTATTTTTTTAAATAAGTGTGTTTGTCTGAAATACAAATGAAGCTCATTTGTTGTATGTCTTTAGTGAAGATGTATGACATTTGATGTTAATTCTGTTTTACCAAAGGCGACTCCCTCCAGCCGGGCGTGCGTGCCGAGGGAGGGCAGGGAGCTGGGCAGCGAGGCTGGCAGCAAAGGGCTTCCAGCCCTCTGGGCTTCTTCCATCCCGTGCCCTTTCTCCATGAACCCTTGACGTTATGTCTTACCGAGACAGAGAACAAGATCGGTTTTGTTTTCAAACTGTGGTCAGTAAATGCCCTTTGACTGGAAAGTTCAGTAGGAAAATCAGAATGTAGGGGGGAAACGTGCAGGGGAAGACAAGAAGGGGGAGTTACTGAGTGGTCCGGTGGGATGTCCTGAGACCGACGTGGCCCGTCTGGGTTTCAGAGGTGTTGGGGATGCAGAGAGCCCATTGAATTTGGTGGGAGGAGATGCAGATTATCCTATTTATCGAATTTGCTTTATTAAGACATTTGGGTACACCGGTGAGGAAACAAGAGCCAGGAGGACTGACTGTTTGTGGGTAGAATAAACAATTAGAGTGTAAAACTTTCCTATGCAGCACAGGCAATATCCCTCCCCCGTACTTGGGAGGGAACAACTGAAGTAAGTGGGATTTCTGTTGTGGTGCAAACTTTGGCCACAGTCAGGCGTGACCGCACGGCTGGACTGCAAATAGACGGGCGCATCTGTCGTTAGCGCGGTCTGTCATTAGGAACGTCACACTGGGTTTGATGGTTTTTCTCTTACCCGACTGCATGGCAGAATCTGTTCGTCTGGTCAGGCTGGAAGGAGGAAAACTGAGAGTTTCTGATCAAATGCAAAGATGTAATTTCCAAACACCATAATGGAAAGCAGCACCCCGAGTGTTCCTGCCCATGGCTTTGCCGGCTGGAGGACCGTGCCAGCTGTTGGGGAGCACATCTGGTGTGGCTTCGCTGGCTGGGAGCTGCGCTGAGCCCTGGAGGGAGCTGGGGGGGGGGTCAAAGGCACCGGGACCTCTGGAGAAGGGAAGTTTTTGAGGCAGCAGAAAGACCCACAGAGTCTGGAGGGCATCGGCAGCAAAACACACAGCGGGGTGAGAAACTGGCGGAGCCTGGGTGCTCTGTCTCCAGAGAGCAGTCACCTCGGATGGAAAAGCTGTTTTGTTTCCTAACAGTAACAAAGGATCCAGCAACACAGCCTTGTAAATCACATCTGGATTCTCTGTAGTGCTGTATGTTCATGGGAACAAGTACTTGTGCATTAAAATCAATATTATTCCTTGCAATCAACCCTTTCTTATCCTGGAAGACCGTCAGTGTCCAGGCAAGTGCACACAACAAGCCTAGGGCCCAGAGATAACCGGCTCGGCGGTGCCCCTTGCCCTGTTCTTGCTTACATATTACTGTGATTCTTCTTACCTCTTATAAAGAAAGCCTTCCCTGCTCCTTTGAATGTTAACGTTTCCCGTGGTTATGCTGCAGCCCTGGGTATTGGGGAAGACTTGTTACTTCAGGCCGGGTCACGCCTCAGATAAAAGCAGACATAAAACCGGGTTGGAGCTGTGCTTTGCTGGAAATGCCGCTGGAGAACAGAGGGCTGGGCACCCAAAGGACCTCGGACGCCGGACAGGAGACCTTGTGGCATCACCGATGCTGTCCCTGCTGACGCACACTGCTGGGAAGTCCTTGGCAGCATTGTCCAGACCTGCCTGGCTGTGCCAGAGGGGCAAGGCGAGCCCGAAAGCTTTTTCTGAAGCTTTTGTCATCTGCCAGCTGGGAGCACGAAGGCTTCTGCTGCGTCCTTCCTGGAGGAGTTGGCCCCAAGCCCACATTGGGAAAACTGCCGGGAAGGGGATGTTACAGCTTTTCAAGCGCGGTGGGGGCGGTGGCTCCCCTGTGTCCCCTGCAGTGTTGGTATCTGTGAGGCTGCCCCTGCCCCCAGGCTGTACAACATATATTTCTTTTTTTAACATCTCTACTCTGTCCTTTATCAAGGACTTTAAGCACTATTGGGGTGGTTGTAACCTCCATCTTCGCACCCCCATTCTCTAACGCCTTTCTTGGCTAGATCCCTCTGCCCCCTGAAGTTAATGAGTGGTTGGTCCCCAGCTTCGTCGGGTCCCGTTTCGCCCCGAGATGTGCAGGGCTGGTTTGGGACAGCGGTGCTGTGGAAAGCAAAGCAGCACAGTAGCCTTACTGTTCCAAAACAGAGTGGAGGAAAATCCTCATCAGCTCATGAAAGGAGTCGATTTATGTAACCGATGCTCATGTGGGTACTGATGTAATGTGTGAGGAATTACCTAGGCAGCCCTGTAACGAGGGGTGGGCGTTCAGGTCGTGGTTAACGGCTCCGAAATGCGAGGCCAGGAGTTCAAGTGGGTTTAGTAAGGCTGGAGCAGTGCCTGGCACCTGGGCTGCGGGAGG